TACATGCTTATACATGTTTATAGATGTATGTACGGCAATGTAATGAAAATGTTAATTAACAAGTGCATGCTAAAAAGGGTAAAAGAATTTCTAACACGAAAACGAAAACGAAAACGAAAACGAAAACGAACACGAATAAGAGCAACGGCTTGATGAACTTTCAAAACAGACAATTTCGTCCAACACTTAATCATTAACCTTTGGCTTATGTTAAACGTGCCAGACTTCAATAATTCGTTTTGTGACAATTATTATTGTGCAATTCTTACGCCATATTATTATCATCGTTATTATTAGTTAGGATCACGAAAATGTTCAAAAACACATTTCACCTACAGACAGTATTAATTCAGTTTCTCCCTTTTAAAGCAACAAATTAATTTCCTTTTATTATTTCTACATCGTTTAACCTCTTCAGGGACGATATTCTGTTAGTATAGAGAAAATTAACTGATTTTTCATTTTATTCAATTTGTAAAATATGAGAAGACAATGTAAGAAAATTATATTTGATTGTGACCCGAATCTTTTATACTCATTACCGTTCTCGTATTTTTATTCGAATAATTTTGTGGAAATTGCAGTTTACCGAGTAACAAGGAAAGCGCAGGTAGTAACCGTTTTTCTTATATTATATATAGGGCGTGTGTGAGCGTTTTGTTTGTGTGTCATCTTCATCTTTACAAACGAGAGTGCGAGTTGATCACAGATACTACACAATCGCTTGGAAGGACGAGAGGATAGATGAACAGACGAACATGCTCTGAATTTGAAACTGATCAAGAATTTATATATATTTCATGGGCTTTTCGAAGCTTGCTTCTCTGCATTATAAGGGACGTGGCTAATTTTTCCCATTTTTATACAAATGCCATAGTATCGCACATATGTTAAAATTTTTGTATATTTATCTGTTGTAATTAGAGCAACCAGTTTCCTATTCTTTTCGAGAAACGCAAGTATTCTAAATTTACGTAGTACTGTACTGCGTCGCCTTCAGGCCAATTTGAACCATTATACAGACGGACAGATGCAAAGTTGGACATCTTAAATTGATTTAGAATTTAATGCTGATCATGAATACGAACACTTGATGGAGACGCCGATGGTGCCTTCTCCGCGTTGCAAACGTTTTGACACACTGAATATACCCCTCATCCTTGAGGCAAAATATTTATATTCCATATGCCCGCTTAAAGGGTAATGGTTTTCATCTCCATTTTCTAAAACAAATACCTCGTAATGATATTTAACGCTTCGCGTAGCTCTTTCGTAGCTTTAAACGATTTAGATAAATCACATTGACTTCCAAATCTTCTATGTCCGATCTTTCATTGGTTTGACTTTCTGCAATAGCTTAGATCTCAGTTGAATCTCGCTCTTCCGCTTGCAAACTTTAAAATACTTCTACTAATTATCCTTTTTCGCATCCCCCTTCAAAGACCTTGATTCAGGTCCTACTAATATCCTTCTAAATAATCTAAACAACACTCACAGCTTATATGCTATTTTACACAATTTTTTTGTGTTACTACCAATTACATATAGCATGGTAAATAGGATTATCGGAAACGACAAATCATAATATTTTTACATTTTGTTGTTGAGAGATTTTCTCGTGAATCATTTATTAATTTATTATTATCAAATTTTTATTCCTTTTATAAATAGTAGATAGTAATTATAATTAAAGAAAACTAAACATTCACACATGTGACCATGGACATCAACAGCTTATAAGCCTGAGGGAGGAGAATGCAATGCACATGTATTTCACATAAAATATTAATTTATTTTCCTTAAAACTTTATCGACGTGAATTGTTTAGAATACATTTTGCCGGTAATTATGATTACAGGAACGATTGGGTTGATTGCGTGATAAGCAAGGATAAGATGAAAAACATTGGTCGCAATTGCTTAAGCTTAGGTAATAACTTTAACGATTAGTCAAGATGTGTGATTGAAGAACAATTGAAGAACAATCAAATAAATTTCCATTTACTCGATCGCATTACGTTGAATAGTGAGAGTTATAGCTTATCGAGTAAGTAATTGTATAAAACACTCGATTGACGAGAATCTAAGTCGTATTCTTTTAAGATGACATTGTATAATAATTATTGATTAGCTACGTATTCCCGTTAATGCGAGTCTTTAATAATTAACAACGTCTTCAATGCATAAAAGTTGCAAAATATTTCACATACTATTCGAGTCAATTGATTCAGATTGCACTTTAAAATATATATATACATAAAATTCCAACTGCATTAGAGTTTTCAATATGGGCAGCATTAAGTTATCCGACTGCCTTTAAATCGATGCTTTGTACATTTATTTACAAAATATGTGGAGAATAATTCAAAAAATATACGTCAAATATCAGATCATATATCAATGTATATCCGTAAGTGAAAACAATTTATTTATGGTCGCCATTGGCAAGAAAGATGCGCGCAAGTATCATCAAACGGTCAAGACGTATAGGGTTTCCAAATATCTTCTTGTGATAATGGATTAGTTAGTTACTTTATATTGTTTGAGAAATGTTGTAAACAAATATAGTAAATGACAATAAACTGAAGAAAAAATGATGTAATTGAAAGCTCCGAACTGATATTACGATGCTTTTTAAAAGTACATGACAAGGCGACGTGTAATATATGCAATATTTCATACCTGGATTGTCAAGTAATCTAGAAATGGTCAAAAAGAATCACGGAGCGCTCAGACGGCCGAAGGCAGTCTGACAACATAATAAATATAAGCAATATAAGGAATCTGATGAGAAAGGTAGAAAAGTAAGTCTATTAGAAGATAAATCAGTTTACTTTGATCGTAACCGTAGCGGGATCTCAGTCGGTAAAAGTATAATACTTCCCGATTGCGCACACACTTACTAAACTGCGGCCTCCAGCTCTTACTTTTTTCTCACTTCTTTCTTTTTTACCGTCCCCACAGACCGTTACCACAGACTGATTGTTCATATTTAAAAAAAAAAAACTTACAACAATATTGTCGAGCAAGACCGACCATTAAATATTTTACATACCTCTGCCTAATGCAGTTTATTTTCTTCTTCATATGTCAAAAATGATAGCAATTCTTGTATGAAATACGAGCCGAATTTAATAAAATCAATTCGCTGCTTAAAAAAACTCATTATTCGTTATATCATATTTTCAACACAAAAAATTTTGAAAATTTTTATCTCGCCCTCATATAAATCCTTATGTTCCTGAGAACGATTGTAAGAAAATACATCGAAATACTATATCTTTCTAATCAATACTGAATATAACAAAATCATTTTGTCAATTATCTACTTTGAGCCTTCATCCGTTACAACCTACTAAAAATGAGACCTTGGTATTATATAAAGGCTTGTCTTTTTGGGAAAACATCGTTGTGGGAAGAGGTTCAAAAAATGGATGCATCCCAAAAGAAAATTTTATTTAAAACTCTTAAATACTATATTTCATCGATTTTTATCGAGTATATTTTTATTGAGCATAGGGTTTGTAATCGTAAAAATGATCCGATTTAACCAATTTTCGGGAAGATTCGCCCGTAGAGCAAAACATGTTAGTGCACCAACTGTTATTATAATATTTTCAAAACTGTAATTACTTACTACACTTCATATGGATAGACTTCAGACACACAAACACATTTATAGAACTTAGCTTAATCGATCGAGAAAATTCTCAATTGTTTGGTTTGGTTTACAAAAAAGTGGATCTCCCGCGAATCCTTACCGATGTGACAAACATATAAATCCAGTTAATATACCCTTAGACCAGTGGTGTTTGAAAATCCAAATGATATCATGACATAAGTCAACCGATGACGATTGTAAAAACTACATATAGCCTAATGGCACGATACTAGAAAAGGTGGCATAGTAAATCGCGAACGTACACAGCACCCAAAAGGACTTAAGGCAGACAGATAGATCTACATCTAAAAGTTATTCTTAATCGATCTAACCGTGTCGGCCTGCCTCTCTGTCTGTCCGTCTGATGTTTTTTCACGTAAATTTGTGTTCAACCTACAGTTCGCAATTTTCGATAAGTTTTGATGAAATTTAATACATTGGCCCAAGACGATTGTTCAGATCGGATCGCTTTTTCGACCATATTTTGAAAAGTTGTGATATGAAAAAAAAAAAAAAAAAAAAATATATATATATGAGATTTTAGGAATAACTTGATTAAGCGAAATTGTGTTCAATATTCAATGGTGATTATAATGCATTTACTTTCTTGCAATTCAAATATAGAGAGTCTTCGCCCCACTTAATCAGCGAAACTAAACAACACTAAATTGTGATAGAGATGAAAATGCTCTGCAAGACAAAATGTATAGCGAACAAAATTATCAATTAACTCTTTTTCTATCTATAAAAGGCACTAAAATGAAATTTATATAAAACCCTAGAGAGGTTTGAGCAAATCATTCTGAAAAGTTTCGTTGCCACGATTTTCGTCCTAAGCGCATCGTAATATAAGTTAAAAGTTAAGATTTTCGTTATTCCCTAACACAGCGAACATGTTATGCCATACTATGCTAAAGTTAAAAAGGAACAGCAGACGAAATAAATTCATCTTAAACCGAATCTTTTCATACCCAGCACGTATATGTTTTTGATGATTTTCAATGAAAACATTTCGAAAGTTGAGGAAGTATGTGACTTCAGAATTATGATTGCACTATAAATGTGACATGGTACACCATCACGTATAGTATAACGAATAAAGAGTTATTTGCGATTGTGTGTACGTAAATAACAAAAATCAAAAAAAAAAAAAAAACAAAAAACAAAAAAAAAATTATAAACGATTTAAATAAATTTTGAACATCATCTGACGGTAAGGAAGAAAATAT